GGCCAGGAATTTGAGATCAGCATGGGCAACAATGTAAGACCCCATTTCTACAAAAAATTTAAGGCCAGGTGTGGTTGCTCATGCCTGCAAAATCCTGGCACTTTGGGAGGCTGAGCTGGGCGGATCACAAGGTCAGGAGTTTAAGACCAGCCTGGCCAACATGGTGAAACCCCATCTCTACTAAAAAAACACAAAAACTAGTCAGATGTGGTTGCACATACCTGTAATCCCAGCTACTCGGGAGGCTGAGGCAGGAGAATCTCTTGAATCCCGGAAGCAGAGGTTTCAGTGAGCCGAGATTGTGCCACTGCACTCCAGCCTGGGCAACAGAGCAGGACTCTGTCTCAAAAAAAAAAGAAGAAGAAATTAATGTGGTGCTTTTCTGGAGCTGGAGGCTATTGATGTAGGTGTGGGAATTACTACTTGGGAGAGTTCATCTCTGCCTGTTCCAAAATCCATTGTGAGCACTGCCAGTGCTTTCTTCAGCTCTCATGAGATTGGGGCAGGATCTTCATGTTAGGCTGTCTTAGTCAATTTATATTGCTATAACAGAATACCACAAACTGGATAATATTTAATAAAAAAATTGGCTAGGTGCGGTGGCTCACACCTTTAATCCCAGAACTTTGGGAGGCCGAGGTAGATGGATCACCTGAGGTTGAGAATTCAAGACCAGCCTCACCAACATGGAGAAACCCCGTCTCTACTAAAAAGTACAAAATTAGCCAGGTGTGGTGGCACATGCCTATAATAGCAGCTACTTGGGAGGCTGAGGTAAGAGAATCACTTGAACCAGGGAGGCGGAGGTTGTGGTGAGCAGAGATCACGCCATTGCACTTCAGGCTGGGCAACAAGAGCAAAACTCCATCTCAAAATAAATAAATAAATAAAATAAAAATTAAGTAAAAAAAATTATTTCTAATGGTTCTGGAAGCTGCAAAGTCCAAGATCAAGGCACCAGCAGATTATCTGGTGAGGGCCTGATCTCTGCTTCCAAGATGTGGCTCTCTTACATGGAAGGTGGAAGGGCAAAAAAGGGGCAACATTGTGTGAAGCCTGTTTTATAGTCTTTAATCCCATGGATGAGGGAGGAGCCCTCATGACCTAATCACGTCCTAAAGGCCCTGTCTCTTCATACTATTTGCATTGGGGATTAAATTTCAACATGAATTTTGGAGGGACATAAACATTCAAACCATGGCAGAAACTCTTTGCAGAGCCCTTTTGCTGCTGAAACTTGCAGGTGGGGGTATGACTTATTTAATAAAGATGACCTTTTCTGTATAGATGATACCTAGCCGATGTTGAATAGGACATTTTCTGTTTTTTGTTTGCTTTTTTGTTTGTTTGTTTGTTTGAGATGGAGTCTTGCTCTGTGACCCAGGCTGGAGTGCAGTGGTTTGATCTTGGCTCACTGCAACACCTAGCTCCCGGGTTCAAGCGATTCCTCTGCCTCAGCCTCCCAAGTAGCTGGGATTACAGGTGCCCACCACTACACTCAGCTAATTTTTGTATTTTTAGTAGAGACAGGGTTTTGCCGTGCTAGCCAGGCTGGTCTGGAGCCCCTGACCTCAAGTGATCTGCCTGCCTTGCCTCCCAAAGTCCTAGGATTACAGGCATGAGCATACTGTGCCCCGCCCTGAATAAGAACTTTTCTGTTGGTTCTTTTTTGAGATGGAGTTTCGCTCTTGTTGCCCAGGTTAGAGTGCAATGGCACGATCTGGGCTCACAGCAACCTCCACCTCCCCGGTTCAAGCGATTCTCTTGCTTCAGCCTCCTGAGTAGCTGGGATTACAGGCATGTGCCACCACACTTAAGTTTTTGTATTTTTAGTAGAGACAGGGTTTCTCCATGCTGGTCAGGCTGGTCTCGAACTCCTGACCTTAGATGATCCGCCCACCTCGGCCTCCCAAAGTGCTGGGATTACAGGCATGAGCCACTGCGCCTGGACTCCTTTTCTTTTTCTTTTTTAGAGACAGGGTCTTGCTATGTTGCCCAGGCTGGAGTGCAGTAGCTATTCACAGGCACAATCCAAACTCCCGTGCTGGCCTCCTTTTCTTTTCTTTCTTTCTTTTTTTTGAAAGAGTCTTGCTCTATCGTCCAGGCTGGAGTGCAATGGTGCAGTCCTGGCTACTGCAACCTCTGCCTCCAAGGTTCAAGCATTTATACTGCCTCAGCCTCCCAAGGAGCTGGCATTACAGGCGCGGGCCACCACACCTGGCTAACTTGTATTTTTTTAGTTGAGATGAGGGTTTCATCATGTTGGCCAGGCTGGTCTTAAACGCCTGACCTCAGGTGATCCGCACACCTCGGCCTCCCAAAATGCTGGAATTACTGGTGTGAGCCACCACAGAATGCTCAGCATGTTGTAAGTTTGTTGTTCTTCCTTCCCTTTCCAAAGCATTCCCGCCTCCTCCATCCCAGCATGTGCTTACGCTTCTTTAGATTTGTGGGTCTGAGACCCACACGCGGTCTCCAGCTTTTCCAGTCCTCGCCCTGAAAACCTTCTTCTAGTCACAGATCTAGTCATTTTTGCCACGGCTACTCTTGAACTCT